AATTGTAAGTAAAAAATCATGAATATTTAATCACCGCGTTATTAAATCGTTTAAATAGTTTAATGTAATATGAAAGGTTTTTCAAAATTTATTCAACATAGATATAAATTATCTACTGATTGTAATGAAAAAAATAAAAATATTTCCCCCCGCATGCTTACATATCTTTGAATGAACAAACAAAACGACGATGGATTCTGTAAGTGTTTGACCTGCATATGGTTGCATGTCTAACAAAACATAAGGCAACTTTAGACACTTCTAAGTTATAAACTAGTTTTACACAAGCGTGACTTCATGAAATATGTACTTAATAATGCGAACCATAAATGAAACTGTAACACGGTTTTTTTCTTTTTTCTTATGTGAATAAAATGTAGTTTTAAAGACTTTGGTCACGCGATTCTAATTTTCCTTTTGTGCCGCAAAATAGTTAAATCTTGTAATTTTCTTTTGTCGGCTAATATTGTATTGATTCACGTCTTGCGGAAAAAAATGCAAAAAAATGGTCTAACGAACCAAACAAAACACTATTCAATAAGCAAAGAAATGCTAAAAAATGTTATAACATTATTTTTGGAAAAATACGCAAAGACTTCGATGACTTTAACACAAGAATTACCGACGTTTTTCTAGGGGGGGAAAGGGGTAATTGTCGTGAGAATTTACATAAGAAGACATCGTTTCACATATATACATCACTGGATCGATTAAAACCCACGTTTAAAAAATGCTTGCGATTATAGAGTTTTGAAAGTCTGTTCATTAAATCAAGAAAAGTTGCCGAAAAATTTTGAAACGTCACTTGGGGTATAATCAATTTTTTGAAGATCGAAAATTGAAAAGGCTCGAAATGACGTATGCGGCACTTCTAGTGTTAAAAAGATAGAATGCAAGCTTTTTTTCGTTATTTCACATAATTATAGGAAAACACGTTTATATAAACTTTGCTCTGTGTATCCCTTACACAAGCGTTACGTACGAGTATACCAAGCTTTTCGCTCATCGTATGGTTAATCGGTACTATTTTTGCATCGAAAATTGTGTAGAGTCCTTAAATAATTTTATAAGAGTAACTCCTATAGGTTATAAGCCATTGATTAAAATACCTTCAAATTTTCTTTTTCTCTTTTGATTTCACTGGAGCTTACTTAATTGGGAGGTCTTCACATTGGTTTTAAAACTTACTAAAATCTGCACAGTTTTAACGGCAGACGGATATATATAACAAACGCGATTTCGAATTCCATGCTGTTTAACATGACTCGTAAACTTTAGTAGTATACGTTTATTTTGGCCGTAGATTTATTTAAAGTGGATAAAAGTCTGCTTTGTCTATTAATTGCCAATGTATGCGAAAAGTATACTATAGTTTTTGAGGTAACTATTCCCTCAACGCAGATAAAGCATTACGTTCTTGTCGACATTACTTTTTGCACATACCGAGTGGAATTTTTGCAAAAAAAAAAAAAGAATTATGCATAGTATGTTATCGGTTTTTCTTTGAATCAATTTAATTACTAGTTCATGAAGTGCTGAATGCATCTTAAAGTTTTCATTTTGATATGTTGACTAAACACTTCCCGAAAATATGCTAAAGTCTTGTAACACTATGACATGAATTCGATAAACATTTTCTAAAATATTTCGTTTTGCCTTGCAAGGAAATTCTTAATAAAACCACAATTTTCTTATATATTGCTACATGTTATTGTTGCTGTTGTTGTTAATTTTCCGACAATTTGCAAACCTTTAAAACCTAAACTTTCGCATTTAATTCAGGAATGAGTCAATCAAAGGTACAAATTAAATATTGACAAGAATATTTTCAATATATTTTTTCACAAATTGGAAAATGTAAACTATTTTCATTGTTGAGCTAAGAATCATTAAGAATAAGCATTTATTTTGTACAGGTAGATATAAACTTAATATCAAGAAAGAAACTCATTAGTCAAGCAGCAATAAAGGGTTTTATCTGCAACTATTTCGGAGAAGAGAAAATTTTACGAAAAAGGAGACCAGCGTGAAGTACATTGTTTTAATTAAAATAAATGTCAGAAAAAGAAGAAGAAGAAGAAAACAGTTTTAATTAAAAATTTCTCCCCTCATTAGGGTATTGCGAACATGTGCGAACATATTAGATTTTAGCCGCTTTATGAAATTTCCATTAAATTTAAGCTTGAAAAGTAAAATTTTAATTATATATGTTATGCAAATGTTTGCCTACTTTTATATTAATTGACATTATTTTTTTTGCAGCCTAAGATAACATAAGTGATTTATGGGAAGAGAAATTTGAAAAAGTACTCGGACATGGGCAATAGATATAATTATTTTGTTAACACTTTAACCAGGCAATCGCGGACTTTTTCTCTTCAAAAATCTCGCACACGCGTTGCGGAATCAAAATGAGACGGCGACTTGTACATCGAACACAACGCAAATTGTCGCATAATAAATTTTGCGGAAAAATCAAAGTAAGGAACGAACAAGATTTCATTCTTATTCATTGTCGAAAAATTTTCAATTTTTATGCAAAAAATTTAAAAATTACTAAAATATCATCAAGTTTATAAACTAGAAATATTGCTGCAAAAGTACTCAAGAAATTCAATTAAGTTAAGAGGTAACGCGTCTGTGACAGTGTAACGAAAAGGGTTTTCTGATTCTTGCTTTTTGTAAGGAAGAAAAGATAACGGAAGAATAATAATTGAGGAGTTTATTAGGCATATACACGTATGTATATATATATATATATATATATATATATATTTAATATCAACCAATAACTCATCGGACGTCATCTATTTATGCAATATGGTGCGGGTCAGAAAGAGGTAAGGAAGAGAAAGAGATAGGGAGGTGGTAGTCGCAGCCCCTTGATCGTCTGCCGAATCGTTAAGAATTTCGCTTTTACAGACTTAGCCTTCATTACAGTTAGAACCAATGTAAATACTACCGCATTTTTTTGGAGAAATAAGACAAAATGACAGTACGTATATACATATATATACGCAATATCTTTTTGGGACTTTTCCTGCTCAAGGACCTCTGCGGCACTCGCTGTAGCAAATTCAAATTTGAATTAAAACAAATACTGACTTAATCTAGCTTCCTATATTTAGATTTTGACTTAGAAATTTTTAAAAGTATAGATTTTTATATGATTGGCAAGTGTTTGAATTGAAAAAATTCAATTTTTGACCGAAAAAAAAGCTTTATTGTATTAATAAAAACGTGAAAAAGTGCTATAGTGGACCATAACGCGCCACTGAATAACCTAAACCACTCTATTCATACGATGAGTTTTCAAAACGAGGCGTTATGTGGGAAGTAGTCGAGAACGTCGTGTAATCCGAACCACTGCCAATAGCGTTTGTCCTACGGCCGAAATGCGTCTTTGCATCAAGTTTCATCAAAATACAGTCGGACGGACGGACAAGTTAAGAATGATTCGTTCATTGTGAATCGATATAATGAAAGATGAGGCACAAGTAGTGCAGCCTGTGAAAAGTTAAAATAAACTTATCGAAAATACTCTACGTCACTGCGTAGAAAATATTGTTATGAAATTTGCTTTTCTAAGACACAGTCCGTTTCACTGGATCGTGGATATTTTGTTCAAGAGAAATAGACTTCAAAGCTCTTTTATTTGTAATTATGTTCCTTATGTTCACAATTTATTTTGGCCGTACTCTCACTTTCTATGTTCTTGCCCGACTAACTCTCCCTGCCACAAATATTCTACTTATATATATTTTTACAAGCATGTTACTATACCCAAATTCATGGTTTTTTTACCTAAACCCTGTTTGTTTTTTCCGCTAAAAAAAATTACTGAGCTGAAATTAATTGGGTTTGGGATTTTCGTAACAATATTCTAGAGAAACTGAAAGAAATTCGAATGAATTGTTTGAATTATGCTGCTTGCTGTCCGTATTTCGAGAGAAGGCATTTAAACTCTGAATTCTTCGTACACTGCCATACACCTTTGGTTCGAATATCAAATATTTTCACAATTTGCAATGTGATCGCACTTATAATTATCGTTTTAAGTGGTTGTTGACTATTTAAGGAACCATTTAAGCCAATAAAAGAAACATTGATTTTTTAAAAGCCTGCGGTTGCCTTTTAAGCTGTGTATTATACCACACAAGTTTCCACACAAAGTGACATACAAAGCTAGTATTAGTAACATGACTGCTTAGAGATTCAATTTTTTGAGCAGACGAAATATCTTCAAAGTGGATTCACTTTTGATTGTGTAGCCGATAGGCAGTTGGGGAAATATTAGACCAACGGGTAATTGTACTGAGTCGAATTTAACACTATTTTGTTCTTCTTGGTTATGCCACACTTCCTGGTGTTAATGTATATACAACTAAGTGATGTGTGTACAATATCTTGTCGAAATGATAAATTTTTTTCATTTCACACTTGCGCGACCGCACAAAAGCGAAGATTTGGATTGACGTGTATGCACATCAAAAAGCAAGTAACTGCTTAAAAACAGGTCAGTAATTTGATATCTTGTGTTACTAATGCTTTTAGCAATTAAGTAAGTTTTCAATTAAAAGTTTTTGCTTATCAAGTCAATTTGTTCGCATGCTTCAATGCACAAACTGATAATATGAACATTTTCAGCACTGTTCATTACGTATCTATCAGAATAAATGGGCCCACTAATAAATACTCTACACTACCCTGCAGTTACTTGCAGCTAGTTGCGGACTGCAGGTTGAATACAAGGAAACAAGACCGACAGACGGACAGATACTCGGTACTCGGACAGGTAAGCTTAAATCGATTCAAAAAGTGATTCTGAATCGATCGGTATAATAAAAGGGAGGGTATAACCGACAGCCGTTGTCGATGCTTTCCGTACAACTCCAGTTCGCCCAAACTTGTTATGGTCTTGTAAAACAAGTACATAGTGTAAGGTATAAATTTATTGCAATAATTTGAAAAAATTATTTTATACTACTTTTAAAGCTCACCTATGAATCAAAGCACCGTTTTTCAAATTGTTGCCAACAAAATTGGTTTGCTGCAATAACGGCAATTGTTGCTGTTGCTGTTGCTGTTGCTGTCCTAGTTGTTGTTGCTGCATTGAACAATTGACATTTAAATTCACGCTTGTCGGATTAATAACTGCCGCTACTGAATTTGGCATCTTTTGAAAGCTAACTGATTGCATGGACAAGGGTAAGCCGCCACCAGCTGCGTCATTAGCTTGGATAGGACGTACGATAGCTTCTACTGTATCATCCTTGCAAACCAGAGGCACGTTAATAACAGCATCATCCATATTTTTATTCAAGGATTTTACGCTTATTCAAGAGCTTATTGTGTGTTTACTACGACTTCGACTTGTTATAATTTTTTAAGCATTTCTTCCTTTTTCTTGTAGCTTTAATAATTTATTAATAATAATCATATTTTGCTAAAACATTATTTAAAAAAAAAAAAAGCAATATTTATTAATCCAATTTCTCATGGCTATCCTTTATGAATCTCTTAGTTCCGCTTTAGCAAATTATTTACGTCATATATACAAGAGAGAGTAGAATCGCTTTTATATAATGTTGTTATTAAAATGGCGTTTTTTTTTAAGTTTGTTGTTGCCTTTTTATGTTTCCCTTTCCAAGAACCGTTATTGCAAATCTCTAATTATTAATATAATATTTTTTTAGCATTCGCGATATATTATCTATTTAAGATTTGTTTTCATTTATTGTTGCTCTCTGGTGTTCAGTCATTCATTCAGGCAATATGTTGAACAGAGCTAAAAAAAAAAAAAACAAAAAACAGTAAATAAATAAATAAATTTAAATATATATAATTTCACAAAATGCAAAAACGCAATAAAAATTTCACATAATGTGCATTCTGTATTCGTGTGCAATATATCAGTGATGTATGAATAATGCGTTCGATTAGTGGTTAAAAGTATTTAACCTCTTTTGAACCAGACAAATAATTAAAATACAATTATTATCACTAGACTTTATTTTAACGTTGTTAATGCAGTGGTCTATTAAGGATTACTTTTTGTTTTGTACACCATTGAAATTCAACATAACTATACATGAGAACTAAAGAGATGAAAGTATATTATTTAATTAATCGTCACGCCTCTTATATCATATTCTTTTAAATTAATTTTTGCACCAAGTTTTTCTAGGATTGTTAAAGCTTAACGTAGCCGTGTTTTCTCTGATCCTTCTTCGTCGCATTCTGCGAAAAGGAATAAGTTGATCGGAATCGTATATGATATACAAAGTTTCATAATGAAGTCATAAAGCTTCCGAACTGCCTGCCTAAGAATCCACATGCGAAACATTTCCTTTCACAAAATTAAATTTTCTACTATTCCATGTAACGTTAGGATAATAGATTTTATTAATTAATTCATCTTCAAAAACGAATTTTAAATGCACATGATCACCATAATCAAGGAAAACCATTAACATACTTTGTATTTCATTGGGTGGGTCATCTGTTTCGCTAGTCTCTTCGTCATTTCAAGTTTGCATAAGTTAATTGCATCACTCCGACTGGTACTTCGTTAGTGTGACTGTCATTCCGTTAGTCTAATTATTACCCCGTCAGCTTGACCGTTACTTCGTCGGGTTGTCATTCGCTTTTTCCGAATTCTAGTCCATCAATCCTTGCTTACGTGTATATGTTCATTCGCCAGGACATGCGCCAGTCCCTTCATCAGACGTTAAACAGTCTTGTCTGTGTATGAAAATTGTAAAAAGATATCTCAAGCTTGGTGTACACATTTTCCCAAGACAAACTCTACCACACGAGAACGAAACTTTTAACTGAGAAGTTCAAGAGTTTACTAACATGATAACGTATTTAAGGGCTTAAGTAGATAAAGGATGAAATGGTATAATACGCTCCGTTTAGCTACTGTGGTTTAATATGCGTTTGCGAATTTTGAGAGTTTGCATTTGATACTTATGTAATACAGATGTAGGAAATCCATCGTATAGAATTTCATTCCATTTAAGAATTATTATTGTTTGGTTTTTTTTATCAATGATCAAGTCATTTAGGGAATGTTCCGGGCGACGTGTAGAAAAAAAAAGTGGGTAGAGAAAGACAGTGAATGTCCGCATCCTAATGGACGTGTGCCCAATCGGTGAGCTTTAGACCGCGAATTCGCGACGACCGCCTTGGCATTCGCGACTATTATTGTCTATGTGGCAGTCCAGAGCAAGCTTAATATTTTAGAAATCTACTATCATGAACAAGCGACGATCTATTGAAACAGCTGCTGCTGTTCTGAAGAGTGTTGAAAAGAGCCTATCAATCTCAATTGAATCTTGTGCATGTGAATTTTAGTTTAAAACAAAAAACTTCTCTGAAGACTATGCACAAACTATTGCATTTATATTTATCTCAAGTGCAATCGATGTACATGGTATGACGTGTACAAGTTGTAGCTTGCCTATTAGAATTACTATAAGTTTTCGGTAAACATTCTATGCTTGCGTAGATTAATTGCAGAAATCGACTGTGGAAATAGTTGGGACGGATTGTCAAATGCTTTCATGCACGCTATAAATGGAAACGATTTCGAAAAAACTCGAGCCCAATTTTTCTGTTCTGATTTTGACTAGAAGTTTACGTTAATCCAGAATCGCTGTTCGATTCGATTTTGTGTAAAAGGAGTTCTTTTAAAATAAATTTTTGACTTTCATTCAGCTTTGCTCAAAATGCATTGACTTATCAGTACGCTCCAGTTTTCTACTGACGATGAACATTTTTTTTTCTGTTTTAATTATAAAATAAACACACATGCAAAGCAAAAGCACATGTTAAAGAGTGTAGCGAAAGCATTAAATTGGCGACCCGAAAACAATTTGAGAGCAAAGAAGTTAAAAAGCCAAATTCATTTTAAAGCGAACTTTGGATACCAATCAGCTAAGGAAAGTGCATTGTAAAGCTTTTTGCTTGCTAATAGGCTCTTTTGTGCGAACAGTTTTCATATATATTGGGGTGAAATTTCATATGGATGGATATCTCTCCTATACATTTCCTATACATTGTGAAAATTTTCAAATTTCTTTGGCACACAGTAAGCAATACCGGATCAATGTATCATGTTTCAACATTAGTGCTGTGATTTTCTAAATATCGAAGCTTTTGTCCCAAAACGTTTGGATTGTAACGACTTAAAAACTCTCAGGCTTATGAAAAATAATATTTCTAATGATTTTGTTATATACATTTGCTTGTGTGCAAAAACACATTTGCAAGAGTAATGTGTTCTCATTCTTTCTAATGGTTGCTATAGAAAGTAATATTGTAATTTAGTACATTGCTGGAATATAAAACCGCATCTCATATGTTGCTTGCTTTACTTTAGCAGTTTACAAATGGTACCATTTTTTCCTTCTTTTTTTTTTTTCTAGGTTTAAGTCGTGGTAGAACAGTGCGTTGAAATGGAAATGGAAAAAGTTTAACAAACTTTAATAAAGAATCCTTAAAAAAAAAAAAAAAAAAAAAAAAAAACGTACTTGCATTGATTGGCACAGATATGAGGAATTCAATGAATCCTGGAAATATCATAAAACATTGTTCTAAAATACTTTCCACGCGCATAACTGGCATTCAATTTAAATATTCTCTTAAGTATTTTTATTTTTATTTACAAGATTCCCTATATATGCACGCAAAAGTTTCTACCTCAGTCAATCATAAACAAAAGTGCAAAAAAATATTGTAGAACAAAAACAAGTAAGAAAATTATATTCGGTCGCGGCCGAATCTTTTATACTCAGCATCGTTATCGTAAAAGGGACACAAGAAGTAGAAGAATTCAATTTTCATTCTCTTTAACAGGGAGTGGGTGAGGATGATTTTTTTTCATTTTCAAAGTAAAAGTTTTTGTTGTATGGGTGCGTAGGCGATCTCTTCATATTTGCGAAGGGGCTAATGTTTACTAGAGTTACTACACAATTGGGCAGACGAACAGATGGACGTTCTTAGGTGCATTTCATAATTGAATTGAATTCTGGGCGTTACAAATGTTATGATAAAATGAATATATCCCTCATCCCTCGGTGATGGGTATAAAAAATACATTCACTTTAAGTTATGTGTGCAGAGAAAATGTATTTTCGCATTTGTAAAGAAAACCTTAATCTACATTTTAACTGACGCATGAATACATGCCGAAAACGTTTAAACATATATATACTCATACAAACACATATATATAATGCTAAGTATGATAAAAGTTCTCTATACGATATTTGTGGTCTATTCTGTTCGCTTTGGGGCTATAATGCTTTTCGAATGGTATGCTTGTGCTGTTCCGAACATAGCATGAGGAAAGTAAAGAAAAATTATTTTGCAAAATTCCAAATTGTGTTAGTTTGAGTGACATAAATAAATAACAAGGATTATATTATAAAATATACAAGAGATTAATATGAAACATTAAATTAGCTTTAAAGTTGATACATGTTTTTTCTTTCTTGCTTCAATTACCGAAGTATTAATGACGAGATAAACACAATACTCGATTGTAATTGTTTCCAAAATAGCACAAGAGATTATTGAATAAAGTGCGAACACATAAATAAAATAAGATCTTTGTCGAGATATGATAAATGAATTCATCTGTAAAATATTGTATTAAAATTTTCGCCTCAATGCGCGACTTCGGCATCTATGAACACAAAAATTGCATAATAATTGCAAAGGGAAAGAATGAGCGAACAGATAAGTCTAAGTCGATCAGGAAGTTTGCGATCATTAACGATATACATAATAAGTTTATATGCATTTGAAGCCCGAATCAATATCGTAGTTATGTGTACCTGAAAATTCGGACAAATTAAGTGCAACAAGTAAGTTGAATGAAGCAACCAGTTTCAGCTGATGGAAACTGGTGGCATACACTTATCAGTAAATTAAAGCTCCCGCCACTCTCTCTTAGATACAATATGAATTTAGCACTTTTACTTATAAGATTGATTGACACACAACAACAGACACGAAAAAGTCCCTTTAAAGATGGATAATATGTCTGGAGTAGTGGAAAAATTACGCCGATAATTAATATCGGTTTTTAGTACGCATATTTAATCAAGGCCGTAAAGAAGACCTGAACAGAATTTTGCAATGAAAAAACAAAACAACAACACTTCTCACAATTACCTACAACAACAAAGGCATTCATTTAAGTCTTCGTAAGTTATACGGACTCGTGACCATACACAATTTTGTTTCGACTGAACGTGAGCGAGCATATAAATTATATACTAAAGCCCACACCGCTTGCATCTTGCAACATATGTGGGCATAACAAGCTGTCTTGGACGATCAATTTTTCGACTAACCATTAGAGAATATACGAATTATGTCTTAAGCCCTATAATGCTTACATCTTACCTTGTATAGTAGCACAGTGAACTATCTTGGACAATGTTGTTTAAATTCATCAACCGGGAATTTATTTTATAAATCGCTACGGGTGGCTTTATTCAACAAAGAGATAATAAATACTCTAGTAAATGCTTGTCTTGAGTTACGTAGTCTTTATGCGACGATTACATCTTGCAACACGAAACGTCAGGTTCATAAATAAAAAAATCAAACTTTGCGCTTGAGTTTATTACAATTGCAAAAGGCAACTACTTACACAAAAATCGCCTGCCTAATAAAGTAATTAAACATGAAAGCTATCTGTCTATATTGAATACAGATTTTTCATATTTGTTGGAAAGATTGTTCGAAGTAAGTAACGAAACGCGATCTACT